AACAAGATCCAAAAAGTCACACCTTTGTGCAGCATGAACATAAATATCAAACAAAAGAATGAGAGAAAGAGATAGAGGAGGGATGGGCTGGAATTCATTAAGCTAATGGCCGGGGCCTTTTTTACTAGGTCCAGAGGCCAATCTAAACGCCAAGCTCTTCATAGAAGGACGACGGTCCGTCCTGCTGCTCGAGTTGTAGTTGGAAGAAACAGCAAAGTTAGCCATTCCTCCCGCTGCCTCCTCAGCCCCATCACCACCTTTGCATCCGCCACTAGTGGTGGTAGCATTATAGCTCGCCGTCGATTTCAGGGTTCGGCAATCAACTTGAGCAAACTGCGACGACACAATCAGCACCATCAACCCCACCACAACCCACACGCAGCTGGAACTTGATCCTGCTGCCGAGTTCTTCTTCATTGACATCTTCAACTAACAAAATCTTTAATTTCTATTCAATTTTTTTCGGGTTGGTTTATATTTTCGTTGTGTCGAAAAGGAAGGGCTCTCGACTCATATATATACAAGAATTTTAGTTGTTGATGACGGTGTTGCTTAGCTATTAATGCAGTGGGGTCAAAAACAAGATGTTTGACTTTCCCTTATTTTCCTGTGTGTTTTTTAATTGAGTACTGATAAGAAGATTAAATTTTCAAATCAAATGATGTGTTATCAATAAGAAATCAAAACGTTAATCGACATTTGATTAATAATCCAATAATCAATAACTACATCATTTGGTTTACACAATTTGATTTAAAATTTTGATCTCCTTAACATTACTTTTTTTTTTTTTTTGTTATAGTTTACTTGTGTGATTTAAAATTTTGATCTCCTTAACATTACTTTTTTTTTTTTTTTGGTTATAGTTTACTTGTGTAGAATGACGTGTCAAGCAAGGCTAGGGAGGTGAGCTTTTACTTCGAAATTTCTGGTTCGTTTGTGCTGTTGGAATTTGACTTTAAATATTGCCAAACCATTGTATGTCAGCAACGAGAAAATGTTCGTTGGTCCATAAAATCTTTTAAGTGTATGTGTGTGTGTTTTGAGCAGGAGCTTGTTTGCATGGTCACATTTGATACCCTCATGTAGGTTCCACGGTCCTCTTCTATGATCGATCTAACGCGGGTGTTACATCTGTAACGCGCTCTCTCTTTATTCTTTTTTTTTTCCCCATAAAAATGCAGGACAACCAATTTGAGAGGGATAATTAAAAGCAGTGTTTGTTTAGAAATGGCATGCATGACTTATATCCACTTTTATCTGAAAATCTATTTTTTCTCTGTTGAACAGTCTTAGAAAATTGTCATGAAGAAAGTTGAGTTTACATTGTAAAATTAAACATGTAAAGTTTGGTGCGCTGTAAAATATTTTTTCACATCCCTACATGTATGCTCACGTTTAGGGAACTTTCAAGCTTCATTAATAAGTTGAGAGCATAAATTGGGTGACAAGAATCACGTGCGGCTGTTAGGTTTCACATGTGGACTGACCTGATGTGATATGTTGAATGAAGTTGAGGTTCCAATGTAAAACCCATTAGCAATATTGAAAGTAGTCCGACTCTTTACCACCACATGCATGCAAGACTTGATGAACTTCACATATCGCACGGTCATGTATTGTGTTATTAATTCACGTGTTATAATATAAATGCAAGATATCATTTGTAGTTTATAATCCCTTACCCTTACCTTTGGTCTAATATATCTCTGAAAATAAAAGATAAGACGGTGATGTATGTAGTGCGGGGTAACGGTGTGAGCAAGGAACAGTGATTCTTCAAAATTTAGGTTGGCTAAATTACTTTAAAAAAGAGTGGTACGTACGTGTATATTAGGTGTGTTTTCTTTACTTTCAAAGCATACTTAAATTAGTCCAAAGAGAGCTAATTTCAAAGGCTGTTCAAAGGGAGGCATTCGGTTGTGCAAGAATTTCAACGAGCCCTTTTTTTAAAAAAAAAAACATGCTCTTTCTTGAGTGTGTGGAAGACCACTTGGCGATTTTCGAACTCACTGTTAATTTACAGGTAAGTAGGGAAAGAAGAGTTGGTATGAAACCGTGACATGTGTTTAGCTTTGGTCCTTTGGAGCATGTAATATTGTACAGTTCCAAGCGATGCCACTTGATGTTTTCTTAGGTGTTACTATTACAATATGCCAAGCATACCCACTTGTTTCATTTATGGATAAATTGCAGATCGTTTGATCAGATATTGTAGAAGTATATTTAAATTAAGATATTTTAAAAGAAAAAATGGTATATAATTTAAGCTTCCATGAGCATGACAATGACAAAGTCAATAGGGCATAAATTACGAACAAAAGCGATCAGATTATGAAAATTCTGCTGCCATAGCAAATTTAATTTAGGTTACAAATAATTTCGTAACTCGAGTTTGAAGGAAGTTGAGGTTTCACTATAAAACAAATTGCTAATATAAAGAGAGGCTAATTCCTCATAAGAACACGCACGGTTCCTGATATGGGTTGCATACGCTCAATTGGAATCCGTATATATATCACATGAATATTTTAGTTTCAGCCTAAATCAATATGTACAGTGTTCGTCACCTAACCAAGCACGCTACTAAAACTAGGACAACTGTAATTTCGGCAGACTTAATTATTCTTCTCTCACAAGATGTTGATTCACTAAATCCTAATTTCAAAAACATATATCAAACCTCAAATGAAAAACTTGAATGGGAAAAGTCTTGTCTACTTAGGCAAATTTGGATAAAAATGCGTATCACATTGTATAAACTGTTTATTGTTTTCGATCCAAATGTGTACATATCTTCAAGGTACGGTACAACTGGGATCAAACTTTTGGACAAGATTTCTTGCTAATAATCACAAGAACCTCCACTTATTTTGGTGATACAGCTAGAAATATAATGCCCAAGAAAAATTGGCAACCCTAATTCGTGAGTCATAAGGTTGACAAATGACAGCTGAAGTCATAAACTTAAGGCAAAACAGCTACTTATGGGTGAGTTGTGTAGCATATGCGTCATAAAACAATGACCTAATTGGCATGTAAAGGAAGGAAATATGATATATTTTGAACTCCAACATGTTTTGTTTTTGGTTTCTGGTCAACTACCTCAACATCAACACAGCATGTTAAATAAGGCTCTCGTGAGCTTTGCAGACCAAAGAGTAGTACTACATATTATGTGATATGTCAAGCAAAGACGGCGAACGCAATTGAGGGCCACGGACCACTGTATCCAGCAGGAGCTGTCGAAGATGGCGTCTGATCTGCCCAGTTGACACTTGACATTCTCCATCATATATTCATATGTTCACGGGCTCAGATATAATTCTACTTTTTGCAATTGAGATCGATTTCCACATGATGGATCCGAAAGGATCTTATAACTCAGTGTTGTAGATTTTCTTTTCGGATTTAGATATGCATTAGATATAGCTTGTGTTAATTCCTTGTTCATATTTTATAGTGACCCAGCCGGAATTTATGTTTACATGCTAATACATATAATAATGAGAAATCAACATATTATAGAACCTTAATTGAGCAATATTAATGATATAACCTGTAAGTGAGTTTAGATTATATATCGATTATTGATCCACCAGACAGATCAACTAATAGATTATATATTAAGGTTATTGGACTTGGGATTGTATACATAGCATGACCTCTTTCGCATAGATGATAGATAAACACTAAGTTTAGATATGAAAGAAGTGTTAGATAATGTAAAAGTTTCATGCTGGGCATCTTACAAAACAAATCATAACTTAAATTAAATGGTTTCACTTCTAAATTGTATCAAGGAACCTTAGGCTTATTGATTGCATGGGTGATTAATAAGGACAATATCGATTTGGTTAGTGGTAGATCACAACTATCCTTCTGAAATTTTAATAGTAAGTGTGGCCGTTAAGCCTAACATATGAATCATGTACCATTTTTAAAGACTGAAAATCTATTCGTATATGACCGAAAACTACAGAAGAAACTTGTACCAACCAAATTCAAGAAAAGAAAATTGGGAAGTCTCCAAAAAAATTTAAATTAGGGTTGTTATAAGATCGGGTTGGAGGGAGAAAATGATTACTACAATAAACAAACAGATCTTGTTTCACAAGAGTCCAAAAGTCCTCCAATATTTTAGGGTTGTGCCTCCATTGTTCCGTGTCCTATATATATATATACTTGCACAATGTGTTGCATGCGTTAATATATCAAAACAAAATGAAGCAGCATGGCATGATTGGCACCATTAATCATGCCTTCCAAATGAAGTTCTCCATTTTTTCTGTAATCATCTTTCTCCTCATCCTCTCGTCCGCCATGGAAATTGAAGGATTTTTTTTTTTTCAATTTGTTATTTTATTCATAGTTCCGTCTTTTTATTATTATTTTTTTGCTTCAGTTGAGAAACATTTGGCAGTTGATTGTGCAGAAATGCGTTTTTTTTCCTGCTTGCTCTTTTGGTCTCCTAAAATGTTGTTTGGATGGCAAGCATAATGTTGTCTTCATGTCCATGTGCAAATTAAATTAAAGTTTTTTCCCTCAAAATGAGAGAAGGGGAAACAAGGAATGGTGGTTGTACGCGGGAAACAAGAATTGTTATGGCAAAAAGTGAGGTTGTGCTTGGAAATTTAAAAAGAAAAATGAGGGGTGGGATATGAAAATTATCCAACAGGAGGATCCTCTTTGTGAGGATCTGGATGATCCATAAATCGTGTTTGTTTATTGTACATCATACGGTCAGTTTTTGTCAGAGACTATTTGTGTTTAATTTTAAATAAAAAATTTAAAATGATTTCTAACCGCACAATGTACGATAAACAGACACGATTTATGGATCCCCAGATACTCACGAAGAGGATCCGGATTCGAAAATTATCACTTCACTTAATTTTAGCATTCATATAATATTCCACAAGTTTCCTTTTAAAGTTTGTTTGCAATATTTACAAAGGGTAATACTTGCGTTCCATTATAACTAACAACAAACCATAATCTGTTTTACGGATTGCGTAATTGTGCCATTGTATGATGAACTAAGACTGAAAATTACAGGTATACGTGTGCAAATCCTAGGCGGATTAAAAAAAAGATCCAAAAAGTCATACTTTTGTGCAGCATGAACGTATAAATATCAACAAAAGAATGAGAGATCTAGAGAGAGAGAGAGAGAGAGAGAGAGAGAGAGAGAGAGAGAAGCTGGAATTCATTAAGCTAATGGCCAGGGCCTTTTTTGCTAGGTCCAGAGGCCAATCTAAACGCCAAGCTCCTCATAGAAGGACGAAGATCCGTACTGCTGCTCGAGTTGTAGTTAGAAGAAACAGCAAAGCTAGCCATTCCTCCTGCTGCCTCCTCAGCCCCATCACCACCTTTGCATCCTCCGCTAGTGGTGGTGGCATTAACACTCGCCATCGTCGATTTTAGGATTCGGCAATCAACTTGAGCAAACTGCAGCGACACAATCAGCACCATCAACCCCATTACAACCCACACGCAGTTGGAACTTGATCCTGCCGAGTTCTTCTTCATTGACATATTCAACTAACAAAATCTTTAATCTCTATTCACTTTTTTCTGGTTGGTTTGTTTTCTTTGTTGTGTTGAGAAGGAAGGGCTCGCCACTCGTATATATACAAGAATTTTAGTTGCTGATGACGGTGTGGCTTAGCTGTTAATGCAGTGGGGTAAAACAACAAGATGTTTGACTTTCCTTGTTTTCCTGTATTTTTTTTACTTAAATCTCAATTTACTATTTTCAAGTTTCATGGTTTTCAACATTTGGTAGATGAAGTTTTTTTCGTCCCAGAATCATACCTAAAATGTTAATTTTGGGACAATCTTATACATCTGTTAGTCTGGCTATTAAGTCTCCCATTAACTGATGACGTGACGCTCATGTGGACAATAATTGGGTGCCACGTGTCATTAAGAGGTTCACGTGAAAATTAAAATTTAAAAAATAGAAAAAAAATTTAAGTTAAATCTCTATCCCGCCTCTCACCCACCCCACCTTCCCCTTCCCAAATACCCACCCGCCACCATTGAAGCAGCCCTTTTCGAACCCTAATTTTCCACCTAAAAGATTCCCATCGATTCCTTCTCATGTTCCAATTCGGATCCAATCAACCATGGTGAAGTGACGGAGTTGGGCAACATCCACCTCGTCAATTCCTCCTTCTTTCTTTGCAAAATTAAAACTCCTGAAAATCAAAATCTCTCCCCCACGCAACAACACTTGCAGGTCTACTCTAACCCGACTGCTTCAATTATGCAACCTTCATGGCTGAGTTTGGAAGCTTGTGGGTCCCACTAAAGGAGTGGCTGCAATTGGGCATATGGAACAGACTGTTGCTGTGCTCGAATCTAATACACGACTTCTCGTCCTCATTCTCGTCGGGGAAGTTACGACTGTCATTTTGTCTCCGACAGTAGAGGAAGAATGTGTCAATGACCACTGATAGGGATTTTTACCATCTGCAAAAAGTAGGGATAAAAACATTTAAAAATACTTGCAAGAGTACAAGGTTGTCGTAGTATAGTAGTTCAAGTAAGGTCGTTTTTCATAAGGAATGAATGAATAATTTATGTTAAAACCAAATCTTAATTAACTATTTGAAAACAAAGTTTGGAAGATGTTGATTTGATGACCTAAAATATTAAAAACGAATTTAATTAAAAACAATTAAATAAATTGAGAAAGTAAAGAAAACAAAAGAAAATAGTTTTGAAAATAAATTTGAGCACTAGGGTTCCACGGTCACCTTAACAATTCTACAAAGTTCTTCCAATTACTTATAAATTACACATGCATATTTTGAAGGTTAGGTTTTCCTAAAGTATGCCCTACTTGGAACCTCCAACATAAAACGTCCAGATCGAATGTGAACATGCAAGACTCATTAAGTTTTGTGAAAACCTTTTGAAAAACCATACAACCCTTAAGACGTGTCGTCCATTCTAAGAAGTTACACATATTAACCACAAGAAGCCAGCGCCAATTTCTGGGACAACCCTCCACCAAAATTGCATCAAATTACTTTTCTAAATATCCTAATGGTGGCCAATCATCAAGACAATCAGATAGTTTAAAGCACAGTGATTAATAATTCAAAACTTGCATACATAATATCATAAGCAAATTAAAAAGAAACTACATATTCTTGCTAAGGCTCGTGGCCTCGCCCTATCAAACGAAATTAGTTACGAACAATCATAAAACAAAATATTATTAAAAACATAGATAGAAAACACCTTGAAAATAAACTTGAATCCTGCAAGGTAGTGTGTGCGTTCTCCTCCTCCCTCCAACCTAATGGCTACAAAACCTTATTTATACTACTACAAAATAAAACCCTAAAAGGTCCTAGAATAAAACTAGGAAACATAATAAAATAATAAAACAGAAAATAAAAAGTTTCCTATTTGAACTAAAATGCGGAGTTTTCAGAAAATTAGTCTTTTGACTGATCAAATCAACTCCGAATTGGTCCCAAAAGGCTCTTTTGAAAGCTGAAGACACCCCCTACAAATCCTTAGAAGGAATTTTCCTTAAAATATGTCATCTTAACCTCTAACATGCCTAAAACGTCCCAAAACCGTCAATCTGGGAAAGCTGTGCGCTGGGCCTTGATTTCATCGCCATGGTCAAACGACTTGGTAGAAAAATCTAGAATTTTGATACAATCATCTTGAAAGACTCACGAACATCCTTCAATTAGAATCACTCCAAAATTCATCTGTTTGAATACTTTTTGCTCCAGAGGAAGTCGAATGTCCTATACTGAAAATATATAACAAAGTATCAAAATTCTACCAAAATAACTAATAAATTAATACTAAGATTACGGTAAAATATATGGTATAATATGGACTCATCAACCACCACAAGACGGTAGAGAGCACATCAGTGATAACGAGGTCAAGAAGCTTGTGGGAGTTAGAGTTTTTGTTGAGCTGGGGGATGACAAGAAAGGAATTGGAAAATGGGTTCGGAGGAGAGGAAGAGGGATGAAGATGGTGGTTGAGTTGTCGACGGCGAAGAAGATTATGTGGCAGAAATGGCTGATTTGGGCGAAGAAGAAGATGATGACGTGGGTTGATCCGAATTAGGAAATTGGTTTTTGATCTGAAATGTTGAAAACAGAGGTGAAGTGGGTTTGGAATGAGAGTCTTCAAGAGGTTATTTATCTATTTTGTCTCAATCGAGGGTTTGTCTTCTACATCCCTTGTCCGTCCGTCCCTCGCTCCCTCCCTTCTCTCCTCTGCACGAATCCACCAAACCCTTCTACCAGATTCAATCGATGACGTAGCTTGTCTTGGGCTGCTGCTTCGAGCTGCGGCAGTCAAAGAGATCGTTAACGAAGCACTGACGAGTCGGGTTGGGTGGGTGGGTGGATGGGTGGAGTTGAAGATGAAGGGGGAAGGGTGGTGATGTATGACGAGTTGAAGAGGAGAGGAGAAGAGGGTTTGGTGGGTTGGTGCAAAGGAGAGAATTGAGGGATAATGGAGGAAGGGAAGGTCGAGGGAGGTAGAAGGCGACCAAATATCTTCTTCTTCTTTTTTGAATTTTTAATTTCCACGTGGACCCTTAATGACACGTGGCGCCCAGTCAGTCATTATCCACGTGGGTGTCATGTCATTAGTTAACAGGAGACTTAACAGACAGACTAACGGATGTATGAGACTATCTTAAAGTTAACACTTTAGATATAACTCTGGGACGAAAAAAACTTCATGCACCAAATATTAAAAACCACGAAACTTGAGGGTAATAAACTGAGATTTACCCTTTATTTTTTGTTATAGTTTACTTGTGTGAGATCACGTGGCAAGCAAGGCGAGGGAGGTGAGCTTTTACTTTGAAATTTCTGGTTCGTTTGTGCTGTTGGAATTTGACTTTAAATATTACGAAATCATTGTACGTCAGCAACGAAAAGGGCGTTGGTTGGAAAATCTTTTAGTGTGTGTGTGTGTTTTGACTAAGAACTTTTTTCCATGGTCATGTCGGATACCCTAATTAATATGGATTCACACCGTCGTCGTCTATGATCGATCTAACGCGTGTGTGGTGTTACATCTGTAACGCGGTCTCTATATATTCTTAGTTCTATCTTTGTTCATAAAACGCAGGACAGCCAACTTGAGAGGGACAATTAAAAGCATATTTCTTTAGACACGGCATGCATGACATATATCTCCTTTTCTCTGAATTTTTTTTTTTAAATTTGTTGAACAGCATCAGACGATTGTCGTCAAGAAAATTGAGGTTACATCATAAAGTTAATTGAGAATAATTTAAGAGGGCATCTAAGGTTTGATCCGCTGTAGAACAATTTTTCACATCCATACACACATGCCCACATTTAGGGAACTTTCAAGCTTAATACGTGGAGAACATAAATTGGGTAACAAGAATCACATGTGGCTATTAAGCTTCAATTGTGGACCAACCTGACTTTGATACGTCGAAAGAAATTAATGTTCCACCGTAAAACCAATTAGCAATATAAAAGTAGTTCAACTCATTACAACCACATATTGCATGCAAGATTTGGTGAACTTTATCACACGATTATGTAGTGTTATTAACTTATGTGTCATAGTGTAAATGCACGATACCATTAGTATTTTATTAGTCTAATATATTACTCTGAAAATAAGAGTTAAGACGGTGATGTATGTAGTGCGGGGCAAATGGGGAGTAAGGAACAGTGATTCTTCAAAATCAAGGTTGGCTAAATTGCTTTAAAAAGGGGTACGTACGTGTATATTAGGTGTGTTTTCTTACTTTCAAAGCATATACTTAACTTAATCCAAAGAGAGCTAATTTCTAAGGGTGTTCAAAGGGAGGCATTCGGTTGTGCAAGAATTTCAACGAGCCCTTTTTCAAAAACATGCTCTTGTTTTGAGTGTGTGGAAGAACACTTGGGGATTTTCTAACAAACTCTTATTTTACAGGTAAGTAAGAATAAGTGGAGTTGGTATAAAACCGTGACTTGTGTTTAAATTTGGTCCTTTGGAGCATGTAATGTTGCACAGCAAAGTTGGACGTTTTGATTTCCAAGCCATGCCATCATGCCACTTGATGTTTCTTAGATGTTCTATTACACTATGCCACGCATACCCACTTGTTTAATTTATGGATAAAATGCAGACCGTTTGTTAAAATCTTGTAGAAAGTATATAATTTAATTTAAGTTTTTACAAAAGTAAAAAAAGTATATAAATTAAGCCTCCGTGAGCATGACAATTACGTATAGTAAATAGGGCATAAAATAGGGACAAAGGCGATCAGATTATGAAAATTCTGCTACCAATGATAATAGATAGCAAATTTAATTTAGGTTAATAAATAATTTTGTAACTCAAGTTTGAAGAAAGTTAAGGTTGGTAAGATGATGAGAGCCTAAAAACTTATAAGAACATGCATAGGGATGACAACGATTTGGTATAAGGACTAAAATCGCAAATTAACCATCGGGGTTATTCATAACCATACCCACTAGGTAAGGGATGCACTATCAGTTAATGGTGTTATCCATCTTAATCAATACAAAAAAAAAATTCATTTAACTAACACGTTCTTTAAATATCCAAATCCAAATCATCAAAAACA